ATAGTACATATGTATCTGTTGCATTATTCCCGACAGGAATACTGCCTTCAGTATTACTACTAAACTGTAGCAATCATATCTTAAATATTTTCAACAGTGGCTTCCTCAACTGTTGCTGGGTCTTCAGGACTGGCATTGGTAGCTCCCTTGTAAGGAACAAGCTTTCAAATATTGACAGTCTCACATACGTTGTCGCTTCTTTGCAACACCACAGTTCCATTAGTATTGATTTCCGCTATAGGATAAGGGCCGTGTAATCTTTGGGACAGCTTGTCTGGTTCATAGAATTTCATGTAGGCCTGCTGTCTGACCTGATATTTGAAGGGTACTATTCTCCTAGCATTTTCTCTCTTGAGATTCTCATCTATCTGGCGTTGTCTTTTTACACTGATAAGTGTAAAGGCTTGCATTTGATATTGGATTTTCCATCTCTGATACTGGTGGTAAATTGAGCAAGCACTCATATAGTTCTGGCTCTAAGTAGAAGACATCTTCTGGATCCACTTGCGCTGTCAATTTCTTGAAATTCACCACTGTTCCATTACTTTGCTCATATATTTTCTTTTCTTTGTCCTCTTTGTCCCCCACAGTGCACAGATCCATTCTGGGCACTTGGGAGAAATAATCTGCAAGAACATTCTTTTTGCCCGGGATATACTTCCAGTTGATACCAAAGCCTTCTAGGGATAATTTCCATCTGAGAACCCAGGACTGGGACAACGTCCTAAAGATGAGGTTTTTGTGATCGGTGTAGATGTTGATCTTGTCACCATAGAGCATATTCCGGTATTCTTTGAGGCAAAGGATGACAGCTAAATGCTCTTTTTCCATTGTTGTGTAATTCCATTGTGTTTTGTTCAGTTTCTTTGACCAGTAAGCAATTGGTCTGTCATTTTGAAGTATTGCTGCACTGAGCTGATAATCAGATGCGTCGGTGTAAATATGAAAGGGTTTTTCCAAATTGGCAAAGGTGTTGATAGCATCATGTGCTAGCAGAGCTTTCATTTCCTGAAAGGCTTGGTTACACTCAGGCATCTGTAGATAAGGTCTGGAGCCTGTGAGGGCTGCCAGTGGGGCTAGTACATGTGACTTCCGAGGCCACATTGACTTATAATAATTCACGGCACCCAGGAAAGACAGACCTGTTGTTGATTTTGGGGAATTCCCATCTTCAGAATTCCATCAACTTTCTTCTGCCAAGGCTTGACACCGATAGGGGTGAGCCAATATCCCAGGAGGTCCAACTCTTTCACTGCCCATTCACACTTCAGAGGGTTGCATTTCATCCCATTGGAGGCTAACTTTGCCAGGACTGGATCTACCAGGGCAAGATGCGTAGTAAAGGCTCCACGAGACCAGATGCCCATGTCATCAATGTACACTTCAACATCTAGACCAGATAGGATCTTTGTGATGAAGGCTTGAGCATAGTCGGGAGATGATTTGAGTCCCATGGGCAATCTTAGGCATCTGTAATTGCCGTGTGTTGTAGTGAGAGTGCAAATCTTTTGACTCTCTTCATCCAATTCAAAGCAATGGAACATCATTGAGAGATCAATCTTTGCGAAATGGTTGTATCGTGTTCTTCGGTTCATGATGTCTTGGATTTTGGGAAGATTGAACTGAGGTCTCTTGATCCTTTTGTTCAATTCTCTCAGATCGACGAGCCATCTAACTCGGCCGTCCTTCTTTGGAATGATAAAGGCTGGAAAGCCCCATTCTGAATTGCCAGTGGGGGCAATCACCCCTTCATCAACTAGATGTTGGCATTCCCTTTTGAAGACATCCTCGTGTCTGTAAGGGACTGGGTATGGATTTATGTAAACTGGTTCTGCATCGTCCAGGAGATCTATGTGGATCTTTTCATGGGGATACTGGCCCAGCTTGCCATCAAACAACTCCTGGTGTCTGGCTAACATCTCTTTGAATGCTAGTCTTTCTGAATCATTCATGTGCTCCTGTTGGTCTGCAACCTGCTTTGGAGTCACTCTCTGGTACTGCACGTCCAGGATTCTGTTGAGCTCTTTTCCTCCAGTAGCCCTGGCAGCATCTGCTGCTAAATAACTGTCTGATTGGGCTGCAAGTCTGCAGTCTTGTTGTTGGTAGTTTGGGAGTAGATGAAGCTCTAGGAATCCGCCATCCAGGAGTTCATCATCCTCTGCCAGCCACATGGCCTCTGCCACTTGCTGGGGATCATTGAAATGATTTGTGGGTTTCATGTCAGTGATTGAATCCAACCATCTGATAGTGCGTGTGGAATAGAAAAGGTCTATCCCAGTCATCAATAGAAAGTCTCTTCCTAGAATCATATCATAGTTGCAAGGGGCTGAAGAGAGCCTTGTATTGATTCCTTTGATATGTCTGACATTGCCAAATTTGGGGAGTCATATGTTGGATATGAAAACATACTTGGAAGTGTCAAAGCTTCCCTGGGCTGTAGTTGTGACTGAATTGGATTTGTCCTGGAAGGGGACTACTACTCCTGGTGGAAGGCAATGGTTGTGAGCCAGGCACATGGTACTTCCACTGTCTAGGAGAATTTTGAATGTTTGCAATGTTGGTAGGTGTTGGATGGTTTTGCAGACAAGGATGACTGCTGGTAGCACATCCGGTGGTAGCTTCAGAACCCGTAAGGTCACTGCTGTTGGATTCTTGAGAGCTTCTTCATTATCAAGACCATAGATTTCAAGGCACTCTTCAGGTGATTGGGTGGATGGTGTTGGAGGCAATGCAAAGAAAGCCTCTTTTGGATGTCACCACTGTTGATTTGGTCCTTGTCCTTGGAATCAGGTTGAGGATCCGACATTGCTATTGGACTGTAATGAGACGTGGCTTGGAGGGCCCCCACCTGAGCTGGATGTATTCTGGTACTAAGTCTGAGATTGACCTGAAGAGTGTTGTGTAGGTTCCCGGCCCAAGGTTCCCAGTGTTTGAATTTCCTTGTCTTCTCTGGTTTCCTCTGTTATTATAGTTGTTATTATTCCTTTGATTGTCACTCTGCTAGTTGTTACTCTTTGGATTGAATGGACATTTGCCCCAGAGGTGTTCTCCATTGTGTTTCCTGCAAGGCTTTGCATTGATCCTATGCTGTCTTTCTGCTGGGCTCTCATTCGGCTCTGTCGGTTGTTGGTGTTTTTGTTTTTGGTGTTTTTGGTGTTTTTGTTTTTGTTTTTGTTCTTGTTATGAATTTAATTATTTCCTGTGGTGAATCTTCCAAGATGTCCTTTCCACAGCTGATATATTTATCTTGCCAAGCGCTGGGGAAAGAGTAGAAAAGAATCTCCTTGATTTCTTGTTCAGACAAGGGACCTCTAATTCCATGAAGGAGGTTGGCTCTGTTGCAGCAAACAAGAACTTTCTCAGTGTGTTCATGACAGGTGATTCCTTGGGGCTTTGGATGGCGTTTGACTGTAGATATTTAATCACTTCATCTCTTGCTCTTCTTGATGGTGCATAGAATTCTCTATAGGAGATGAGGGCTTGCTTCCACTGCTCTCTAGTGTTTCTTCCAATTCTCAATCTGTCAGGGCCTTTCCACATGTCGTTCCAATTCTGTCTTGGACGGTGTGCCAAGACCATGACCCAGTTCTCATCTATTCTTTGTTCATCCCTCAGTTTCAAGTATGGAACAATTCCTGTACTCCATATTGTCCGGAGAAAAACTGAGCAGTTTCTTTTCTTTCTCATTGCAGGGATTTCAATTGTTCTTAGATTTGCTCCTCTTCCTGAGGCCTCTGTCCTTGCTGGATGATCCACAAAGAGGCTGACCTTCTCCATGTCACTCTTCTTGAATTGGTTGTCAAGGGTAAGACATGACTGATATGAATGTCGATGTCGTGATGAGGAGTTGGTGTTTTTATTTGGTTTCACCATGGTCGATTGACTTGTTTGGTTATTTTCCGTAATGGATGATTAATTTTGATACACGAAACCGAGTAGTAATTACTGTGCACAAGATTACGTGTACTTTTTAAGTGTGTAAGAATTAAAATTATAAATTAAGATTATCCAGCGCGTTCACGAGAGTTCTGAAGTTCTGATCAGATCCTCATGTAGATCTGGTACTGAATCTACATGAAGGTTCTTCTATTTGGAACTCTTGACATCTCTGTTCTTCATAAGATATTCTATCTCTAGATATCTTGGACCTCTTAACTTCAAAGCTGTGGATCAAATGATACGCATGTACAAATAGTATCTTATGACTACTAGTAGGTATGAATAGTATGTCGATCCATTCTAAAGGAAGCATCGCATATACACATGCTGCCAATATAGTACATGAGCAGTACATTGAGGAAAGATTTTTTAAGTACACAAAATTTCCCATTGAAGATGACGTTGTGCAAGCCATCGTCATTGCAGTAAACCTCAAAAGTATGCTCTGTACAAACCCTGTTCCAGAAAGCTTGGTGGTCTCTGCAGCATAGTGGGGAAGGACAGTCAATGGTGCAATCACTGCTTCTTCTTGTAGACACAATGGACAAAAATTGGCAACAAGGATAGTTAACCAAAGAAAGTATAGGCGTTTTATCTGACACAAGTGAGCTTACACCATAATATCAGTTTGTGTGACATTACTAGTATTCATGGGTGATTTTGTGCGTTATTTCTGAATGGGTTATTTGTGGGTTAACCCAGGAACTCAGGAACCCACATTTCAAAACATGCATGGTTTCGTTTTTGTGAAAAATAACCCACGATTTCGAATTGTGGGTTTTTTCAAAAGAAAATAACCCTTGGTTATTTCATTGGAAGATTAACCTGCGAAATTGTGCCCCCCGAATGTTGGATTTAAAAGGGGGGGACGCGCGAGCATGGGTTCCGGAGGGCCCAGTGCCACACGAAATTTAAGGTTTTTCGGTGTAGCACTCAACGTATCGAACGCATGGAACGAAACAAGTTTCTTCGCAATTTCAGAGCTTCTTCCCATTGAAACATGTGTCTCAATTGTTATTCTCTTCAAGCCTTCAATTCACAACGGATTCGATCCCGTGAAAGCTTGTGATTGAGAGAAGTGATCAAAATTTAGATTCGAAATCTTCCGGGCCGATTCGAAATCCACAGGAGAAGAATGAGATGCATGTGGGGAATTCGACGCTAGACGAAATGGATGGCTCGTCGATGCTTATTGCTTGACAATGCCGACAAACATTCCTATTGGACCGGAATCGATGGTCYTCTCCACCATGGGTTTTGGMTATGAGAGAATGAAAACAGCTGCATTCAGTTCGTCTAGCTCGTTATACTTTAAGAGAGAGAAAAACAACACCAGTCTGGATCCCGAACGAGCGATGACGATRYTCSTTGGCAATGGCGGAGCGCAGCCTCGTGGTGGACGTCGAGGCAAGAGCCAACCGCTTCTGAGACATGTTTTGTTCCCTTCTAGAAGTCCTCCCAAACGGATGCCAGAGGCYCCGAAGGTTGGGAAGGRGATTCTCGCGTTGACCRACGACCTGTCGCTTTCGAATCCAACCAACGCCTCGCCTGCGAGCGGCACCGCTGTGAGGAGCCTGGAGAAGCGCTCCCGCGGCCAGACCCTGCACAAGCGCAGCCGCTGCGTCTTTGTTTCGAACCACTCGAAAACCAAGCCCCCGTCGTCCTGCTCGTCGCCCTCGAAAACCGAGTACGGTACGAAGACCACCCGGGTCCGAAAGCACTGCCGCCGCCGCCGCAATCTAGCCCTGAACGGGATGGACTTTGARGTCTTGTTGCGTGGGCGTTAGTCACCCCGACAAAAAACCAACGATGGAATAGAAACCGACGCATTGTCTCTTGGAGCGAATAGACTCTTTATGTTGCRGGACGCCCCTCGGCATCACGTATGGATGAATACATTGCGACAGKTCCACATCGTAAACATTCGATCTTTCCTCATTAAATTGATGGAACGAATCGATTCATGAAAGTAACAACCGACGGAGGGTTTTTTCTTAGCATGTTTTTCTTTGCTATGAAGGCCAGACACGAGTTTCAAGCGCCATTGCGGCCAACCCATACACCCGAGCTTCCTTCGAAAGAATTGATGGAACTATTTAGGATGTAAAATTCAAAACACAACCCGGTTAGGAATTGAGATTCCCTCATTTGATTGACGGAAATCCAAGACGGGATGTTGCACACACCGCTTTCTTTCGAAACGGACGGATCCTGCGGTGGTGGAAAGGATTCGAACGGGACAACAGATCCCTAACCAAACTACACAATCTTGGTTTCYGGCAGTCCGACCCGAACGTCGCGAGTTGTCGAGACGCCGGTGCGGCACTACAATGATTCGGAACAACGAGGCAGCGGCAACGCTGTTGATCCGATCCACGACCAAGCTTTTCGTTCGATCGTTCCTCATTAAGTTGACGAAAGAGATCGACCGCCAGCCGAGTTCCAGTGAAGGCGCGAACGCTGTGGCCATTGATTGGTACGCTGTACRAGCACACGAGCTACTAGCGCAGAATGATTGGTTCCCCATTAAGTTGCGGGAACGGATCGTTCACCAGCCCCCGAGTTCCAGAYWCACCCTCGAGGTGTTTGCGAACGATRAGGTGTTTCCCAGAACTAAAATAATACCATGATACTATACTGCAAATTACGGCATTCCATCGACTCTCTAGTGGTAGGAYTYGGTGTYGGGCACGCATCGTYCTCGCCGCGTGGCCGTGGCGCGGTGYGTCGCTTCGTTTCCTTACTCYGCGCGGATGCCCCCGACCTGGCCGATCCAGCCGTTCAGCTCCCAGTCGACGCACCCGTTGGCGACCAGGGGGTCCTTCCGCACGAGCTCCAGGGCCTCCTCGTGGGAGGCCGCGGCCAGGAACATGAGCCCGCCCCCGCCGGGCCTGCCGTCGGCGTCCACGCGGTATCCCGAGACGATGCAGGCTTCCCCCGACGACCGGAGCGACCGGACCCATTCCGAGTGGGCCTCCAGGTGGGGCTTGATCTCCGGAAAGGACAGGGAGGGCTTGAAGCGCTCCGTCTTGCAAAACCAGGACTCGCCGGGGCCCGGGCGGGTCCTGGGGGCTGCCGCCGCCGCCGCCGACGACGACGACGACGACGACTCTTCTTTGTTTGGGGTGCGGAGCTCCCGTTCCAGGTCGTACCAGAGCTCCCTGCCGTGGACGATCGGGCTCGGCCGGTTGACCCGGAACCCGCAGCGGACGTAAAAGCCCAGGAGGTGCTCCTTGGCGATGCAGACGACGGACTCGATGGGGGGCTGTTCCGAGGCGTCGGCACCGTCTTCCGAGGAAGCAATGCCCTCGAAATACCGGSCGAGCATCTCCGTGGCCAGGCCCTTCCGGCGGTKGTCCTCCCGTACGACGACGCTGTGGACGGCCAGGAGGCGGCCGGCCGGGTCGTGGGGCTCCGACATGGAGGCCTCCGTGAAGGCGTGGCACCGCGTCGCGCAGACAAAGCCGGCCACCGCACCGGTGGTTTCTTCGGTGCACACCAAGAAGTAGTCCCCCGCGAGGGACTGGCGGTCGGCCAGGGCCCGCAGGCTGGCGGCCTCGTCCGGGGGATAGGAGGCCGACTCGATCTCGAAGCAAGGGGCCACGTCCGCGGGGGTCGCACGCCGGAAGCGGAACAACGGGGGTCCGTGTTKTCCGTCCCCGGACGACGAATCCCCGCTGGAGTTTGGTTCGGAAGCAAGCSTTAGCGCCGTGCCGCGGGGGAGGGAGCCTTGCCGGCCGGCCGCCGCGGGCGAAGCGGAGAAAGGAACGGCCGGCTGCCGAAAGGCAAAGGCGGAGACGGACCGATGGGGTGCAAGGGCCAACAGCAGCGGCGGCAGCAGTGGCAGCAGCAGCACCAGAACAAGGGCGGTGCTCCCGATTCCTGCACCGGGGCGATGGCGATGGCGATGGCTTCGGCGGTCGTCCATGGCTGCAAWCGGGGCGGGGCGCAAGCGAAACGACAATCGCAGGGAAGGATGCGGTACGGTACCGTGCGTGTACCGTACGGTGCAGCAGTGAAGCAAGAGAGACGGTGTGCTGCCGCAAGAACCCCGAGTGCGTGTCGACAGACGATGTTTTTGTTGCTGTATGTGTGCAACTGCCCGATGCAATGCAACGACGACGCCGTACGGTACAATACGTACCCGTACCTACCGCAGTCCGAAAAGCCGGAACGGGAAGATCCGCGGAATGATCGATCGATTCGATCGATCGATCGATCACGCGTTGTCCTCGGGTTGGATGCAGGATCCCCGTATTCRTTCGTGACTGAACAAAATAAATGGTTCACTCATATCAAAATCCCCCTTTCCCCCTTCAACCAGTCTGGCCGTCGATCCCAAACGGAGATGGACTGTTTTTTTTTGCTACTGTGTGTACGGGATGGTACGTACCGTACCTGGTACTGGTATTTTGGGGAAGAATCATTCGGGAGGAATCAATCGATCCGAGATTGAATCAATCGACGAGTCAAGCGAGGGGAAAGAACGTCGCCGTAACATCACATCACATCACATCACAACAAAGCACAACACATCACCTGATGTCCTGCGGTACAGGTACCACAACAGTCTTCTCCCCCACGACACCCAGGAAAACGATTGCAAGGCACGCCACATCGCACCACATCGCACCGCACCGGTCCAAAGAGCAACCATGGTCCGCACCGGTTTGTTGAGACAGGGGACTCTCCGCTGCAGGAACTCCTTCGCCGCGAAAGCAGCCGCCCACTCCCTGCCGGGAACGGGAACAACGGGCCCTTCTGCCTCCTCGTTCGGGGGTGCCCGCCGGTCCTTTCTGTGCCAGCATCGGCCGGGAAGACCGATAGCGATAAAGGCATCGGCATCGGCATCGGCAACAATCCACCCAAACCCCTTGTGCGCTTCCTMCCGCCGCTCCTTTGCGGAAGGCTTTGCCAGCGAATCGGACTACCACACGGCGGCCGACGAAACCCTGGAGGACCTCCTGGACGCGTTGGAGGCCGCCATCGAGGACCACTGCGACGACATGGTGGCCGCGGGCGGAGGCAGCGAAAACGAAAACGACGACGAGCCCGAGGCGACCCTCGCCAGCGGCGTCCTCACCGTCGGCCTCCCGCCCCACGGGACGTGGGTCATCAACAAGCAGACGCCCAACCGGCAGATCTGGTGGTCCTCCCCACTCAGCGGCCCCCGGCGGTACGAGCACGACGGGGAGGACTGGGTCTGCACGCGTGCCGAGGGGGAGGGACCCAAGACGCTGGCCGAGGCCCTGGAGGGGGAGTTCGAGGAGCTGTACGGGATTTCCCTGGGCCTGTAGCCACGGGGGTTCGCGGAAGAGCAAAATCGTTCTCGAGACGAAGACCGTCGAGAGGCCTACACCGGTGGCAACCGCTGCGTGCAAAGGCAATCGCATCGCAGCCACTAGCATCCCACGCTTGCTGCCGTGGAAAATCCTCGTTTGCCACGAGTTGCAACTATAACAGAATCATTGTAATCAAACACTAGTATTGTACTTATAGGGTTATTGGATTGCCACAACGGCTTCGAGTGGCCGGTTTCGTTTGGTGCGGTGCGGTGCAGTGCGACGCTGTGGTTCGATGGTTCCTTTGATCAAGGGTGGCTCTGTCGTGTGCGGTGTGCAATTCTTGGGTGGATTCGATTCGATTCGATTCGATTCCGTTCCGTTCAATCGAACAAGAGGTCGTCGAGGTCGCCGTCGTCGTCCCCCCAGTCGTCTCCGTCTCCCGCACCCAGGCCTGCGTCGCCCGCAATGTCGTCGTCACCCAGATCGAGGTCCAGGTCGTCGTCTCCAAAGCCGTCCGGTATCGATGCTTCCGCCGGTTTGGAGGCCAACCCCGGTCCGAGGCCGCTCGCGGTCGTCTTGCTGCTCGCAACAGCGGAAGGAGGGACTGGCTTGGCAGCGATCGGCTTGCTTCCAAAGGAAGAGACGACCGGGGGGGCCGACTTTGGCGGCGTGGCTTGTGCCATCGCCCACCGGCTGGACCCGGCGGCCTTGGAAGCCGTCGTCGTCTTTGTCTTTGGCTTGGGGGGTGGCGGACCGCCGAATCCCATCGAGGCAAAAATGTCCCCGTCGTCGGCACCGATCAGGGTCTTCTTCTTGGGTTTGGCCACCGACGTGGGCTTGGCTTTTTTCGGTCCGAGGCTGGTAATGCCCATTTTCATCCCTCCTATCGTTGCGGGAATTTCCTGCGAGGGATTCATGGCAGCGGTGGTAGTCGTTGCCGCCGGGGTTGGCACTCGAGGGGCGGTGGGCGGTGTCAGCGTGGAAGAGGCGGAAACCGCGGAACCCCCCCCCGATCTCGGAGCCATTGGAAGACCGCGAGAGGACGCCGGGCCACCCTTCCCGTTGCTGCTGGTCAAGCTCATCCCGGATGCTCCTTTTCCGCCGCTGCTGTTGATGCTGCTTCCGCTGACGCTTCTCGAGGCGGACCCGGCATAGGCCGGCATCGGTTTCGGAATTTTCGGGTGAAGGACGGAGGCGGTCGTTGATAGATTGGGAGAGATCGGGGTTTCCCCCTTGTCGGAATCAAAAGACGGTTTTCTCTGGGTGATATGTGTATTGTTATAGCCCCCACTGCCGCTCGAGAAACTAGGTGTTGTCATCTCAATGTTGTTGGTATCGTCACCCCAGTCGTCGTCGTCGTCTCCCCAATCATCATCACCAAAATCGTTGTCGGCAGCATTTTCATTGTCGTCACCCCAACCCCATTCTTCGTCGTTGGCTTCGTTCGATGCTCTGTTTAGACGGAATTGGAAGAGAGAATGAAAAAGAAAAACAGTGTCAGATCCGCATTCGGATTATTTTATGCATCGGCATTCCCAACCTCTGAACGTTCAGATGCGGGGAAGTCTTCTGGGTCACACCGAGTCTTTCGCAATAGGAACATGACACGTACACTGGTTCGTATTTTGTCGTTTTGGCAGCCGTGCTCCCCGCACCACCGCCTCCATCCGCACTATTGATCGCGTCCATGAGTTTGCTCACAGCGTCCGTGACCTTCTCCTTGTGCTTGACTCCAGCGACGCCCAGCCCGATGACCAGAACAAATAAAAAGAAAAGGAACCCGCCGTTTCCCTCGTCGTCGTCGTACCAGTCGAGATTCTGTGGATGTGCTATCCCCGGGGTTGCCGCCTTGTCTTCGTTGTCATCGCCGCCGCCGCCCTTTGTTTCGTCTTTGGATCCCTTCGGATCGTTCCCGCTTTTGCTCTCGTTTCCTGTGGTTTTCTTCGATTCGTTTTCCTTCGGGGAGTTGTCGTTGTCTTGGGTAGGTTTGATATTATCATTGTTGTCGGCGTCGCTGTTTTCTCCATCATCGCCATTGATCTTTGGACTGGTCGTTTCAGTAGCCTCGTCTTGGTCTACGGCACCGGAGCCGGCTTCGTCTCCGTCGTTTTCCTTGGCCTCCACTTTTTTGCCCGTTTCCTCGTTCTCGGTTACCTTTTTGAGATCCTCGGGTTTCACGATGTGGTTTTCTCCTCCTTCTCCGTTGCCACTATCTTCTGTTGCTGGCTGCTCAAGCTTTCTCCGCAGGGGCGAACCGTCTTTGTTGGCGAGCGACAGCTCCCTGCCGGTTGGGATCCCGTCTCCAGCGCCATCGGCAGCCACGAATAAAATGGGGGTCGCATTGTCCGTCGTCGTCGTAGAAATCGCCACGAGGAAGACTATTGCCATCGCGATTGTCATTTTCGAAAACGAAATCCGCCGATCCATCGTCCGCTCCACCATCGTTCCAAGGCCGATTCGATTTGTTTTCTACGTGTGTGTGTTGTACAGTATAGCCGTTGGTCTATTGCCGATTGGTTTGCTTTTTGAGTGTCACTGTCCTCGATAAACTGCGATCCAGAGTTCCCCTGTATCACTCTCCGATGCTGGTTTCTATTGTTTGTGATGTTGCGATGCTATGCGTTGTGCTGTGGTGATCTCCGTCGATCTTGCTGCGGGTTGAGCAAATTGAAAATAATAGTAACCCTTRGTATTTGGTAGCGAGTAGCGATACTTTTTCAAAAATGCCAGTCTGGTATGGTACGTACGTTACTGTAAAGCTCGTTAGTCTTTGTAAGTTTCAAGATGCGGGTACGTACAGTACGGTAGCACATTAATTTTTTGACTATCTGGCCCTTAAACGGAGTAGTACTGTAGAAAATAGAAGGAAGTACGAGCATCGTACCGTACCTTACCGTACGGTTCGGAACGGTAGATCGTGTTTTTAGAAGCGAGTGAGAATTGAGAATGCTATGACCAATTTTGAAAATCTACACCTACGTTTGTATCGTACCTTGTAGAGGTAGGTATAGTCAGTGTAGTAGTGAGTATAGTAGTAGTAGTACATTATTATTTAAGCTTATTGATTTGGTATTAGTAGATCCTCTCCAATTTTTCAAAATCAAGGAATACTATTAGAAGTTGCTGAAGTACTGTTTCCACTATTAGAAGTTACTGAAGTACTGTATCCCAGTAGTAACAATGAGAACTAAACGGGAATGAATCACTATTAGTACAGTAAACTACACCATCATAATGTGTAATTCTTATTTTCGTTTCTTTCACAGCAGTAGCTAAACACAAACCAATGGATAATGAATGCACAAAATTTTGATGACACAATTGCACGAAATCCAATGTTATTATTGTTGTCAAAGATCAATACAATGGGATGCCAGTGCCAGTACTACTAAACCAAACAACCAAGAACAAGAACCAATGTCATTACAGTGGCCGACAAAATTGTTCCGTGCTCGTGCATCGAACGCCATCGCGGTGCGGAAGAACTCAATAGAGGATCCATCGCTTCTTCGTTGTCCTCCACGGCCTTGGCGTTGTTGGCGTCTTCGTTGTCCACGGGAACGGCATCGCTTTCTGGTTTCTTGTGCTCCTTCTCGTTCTCSACCGGCTCCCCCGCATCATCATCGATCTCGTCATCGATCTCGTTCTCGTTCTCAAGCGAGTCGTCTCCGGACGGATACCCTTGCTGCTGGGGGTTGCTGTAGGAGCTACAGAATTCCCATGCCATTKCMGTAGTGTCGACCGGAGCGTCCACGGAAGACGAGAATATGCTGTTTGGGAGAGGGGCGTACGGCCAATGGCCCGATTCGTACAGCATGACGAGCTCGACGTCTGCACTGTTCGTGCAATTGGTCCGCCTRTAGGTCGCACCGCTCTCGCCGATGTCGGCCGTCTCCGCCTCCCCGCAGTCGTTGCGGCCCCCAATGTAGTCCAGGACGTCGTTCGTCGACCAGGACCCCAGCTTGCCRAACAACGGCCCAAGATCGAAAGCGACARCGCCRTCAGCTCTCACGACGTCGTCCTTCAACCCGTGGRCCATCCAAATGGGCACCGGGGTGTACTGCTCCGGGAAGGGTGTCAGAAGCGTTCCCGCGTGGCAGCACACCGCTGCAACGACGTCGGAATGGAGGGCCGCCATGGAAAGACTCGTCATGCAACCATTGGAATGACCAGCCATATACACACGCGATCGATCGATTGAAATGCTGYCGTAGTAGTTGCTGCTGTTCTCCATATCGAAGGATTCGGCAACGGAATCAATAGCCATCCTCAGGAACAAGGGATCGTTGGGTTCCTTCGATGGTAACCCCATTTCATCGTCGCTCTTGAAGCAACAACAGGGGGCCGTCGTCACGTTGTTTCCGCCTTCCSTGCCGTAWCCTTCGTCTCGCAAGAACGCCGGAAGATTCCAGCAGCCGTTGATCAACAGATCGTCGTTAACGTTGCCACTGGGCCACACCACTACGAAACACTCCTCCTCTGCCTTCTCCTTCCAGCCCGTGTACAGGGACGAATAAAGCGCACAGCTGGTGAGTCCGTGGATATCAAAGACAACAGGAAGATCCAGTGGATTTTCCCCSTTTTCATCACCCATGCACGATTCCGGAACGTATGTGTAGTAGCATCGCTCCACGGTCGTGGCAGTCGATCCTTCACCGACCGGAACATCGATGCAAGTCCGTGGAATATCTTTCCCATGGGCATTGGTCAACGCATCGGGACCCACATCGCAATCGTAATCTCTATCGTTGGAATCGATAGACAGCTCTAACTGGGCCGCTACGAGTGCATGGTTGCTAATGCAAAGCATACAAAAAGAAAATAATATCGTCGACATCCTGAGCGATGCCATTGCTCCTCTATGTTCTGTTTCCTTCGAATTCAGTGAAGAATGTGTGGAGATGCCGTTTCGTGAAAACTGTTGTATCCAAAAAATAAGAACAGGACGTAATTACGGTACGTACCAGTACCGTGCGGTACGGGTTGGGACTGGTCATCCGGGTGAATTAATGAATCATCTTGGGTGAATGAATGAATCATCATCGTAGCTTGATTGTGGCGTGTGTACTACAGTACCTCACAACACCTCACCGTTATCATATCGTACCGTACCGTACAGTAAGTGATGCTGCTGTACGATTCAGAAGACCATTCATTATTTTTGAGTCGTGGGAATTTTCATAGCGCGACGAGATCTTGGATCGAAGAGAAGAAAGCGGTACAAGTAGAGAGCGAAAACTTCTTCGTGTTACTTTGATCTACCGTACTTGTACCTTGAAAGACCTCTTGCAAACTACTTGTACTTAACGTAAAATGTGTATCGCTAAGTACGTACGTAGTCGTAGTTCAAATAGTAGTACCGTAGCAGAAATYGGAAAAATTAGTTCTGTTCAGTAGAAGTACTTCAGAAGGAACGAWTCGGATACGGTATGTTGTATGTGCAGTAGATAACTACCTATCATCCAAGACTATAGATGAAGAGCGTTACTGTAAGCTTTGTTTCCTTTTTGYGGTCTTGGTTTGCCTTCCTCTCTCAACGAGGTGGTGCCTCCTCTGTGCTATGCTTACTCCAATTCGAACACTTGAGGAGATCAAACACCGCCTTTCTCACGTCGGTCTTGGTCAGAGCCATGAGGGCAGAAACGATTGGTTGCATGGAACACAAAAGAAGCCCAATGGAGTATCGGGCCCGTAGGTKATCGTTCTTACTTTTGAGCTCGTCAAAGTACTCAGATGGAGTAAGAAYCCATCCAAATGAACTTTTAGCAAGCAGCGTTATAGCAGGAATCCATGYCAATATATAGACAATGATAATGCGGAAAAAATAAAATGCCAACTCTCGGAGTCTTCCAGCCAAAGGACCCATGGATGGCACCAGACACCGATACCAAATGACAAAACATACATAGCAGAGATAAGCGGTGGGGACTCCGATCACAATGGTGACGTTGATGGGTACGAGGAACGGCATGTTTCCCCGAATAGACTCCGTGTTGAGGAATAGGTGGAGGCAAAATGCAGTGGCTGCCCACGTGTAAACAAGCGCTCCTTGTWTCAACGCTCTTCGAATTGTTGGTGGCGAAACCCGAGCTCCTCGATGAGACACTTTCAGCAGTGTGAATACCTCGTAGACGATCACGGCATTCATGTACAGATTTGCCGTGGTGCACCCCCACATCACAGCGGGTTCCAGTGTATAATAATAATCGTTTTTACTGTCGGCCATCCGCATAAGAAATATGACATAGCCGGGGCGGTCCGCATTGAAATATTGATTGACATAGCCCAAATATCTTCCACACACAAACGAACTGAATAGAAGATCAGGCAGCGCCAACAAAATCAAGTAAAAATTGAACCCGTTGAAGCCTTGTCGAATAGCCTTCCGATTTCGTTTGGTGTTGCCTCTGGCTTTTTGCCACCTACCACGACGGCTATCKTGTGGCAGTTCCGGTGAAGGCTCTGGTGAAGGTTCCACCAAATGTTGCTCTGTACCTTTCGCCCACGCATTCACTGGTCGACTCGCTGATGGTTCCGCCAGCGGAAAATGGCTTCCTCGCGAATGGCAAGGGTTCTGATTTTGTCGTCTTTGTTTCACGAGCGATACCGACAAGGAAATGATCAATATAATCGAAAATACAGCTGCAATGAAAGCAACAATAATCTGTGGCCACACAGTGACCCTGAATGCTCTATCCTTGATGAATGGACCTGTGCTCTTCTTATTGCAACATTCCCATCTGGTTCTATTAAAAGTTCCTTTACCATCATGAGACGCAAAAACCTCCGTATATACAATATTAGGATACTGAAAGTTGGGGTTGGTACAAGTCATCGGCATGAGTCTGCCGTATGTATTCCAAGCAATACACGGGCTGTGAAAATCTCTGCAGGATGGAWTGCAATGAGGCTGGTTACCGTCAAATAGGTTTGATCCTGGTTCTTCGTCGTTTATACTGATATAATCTCTGCAGGCTGGAATACACTCAAGGTCGTTAATGTCAACTAAGTTTGATCCTACTTCTTCGTCGTTTACGACACTATTGTCATCATTTTCGTAACAGCAAAGARAGGAATCTTGAAGATCACCATTGTTTGTATCGTAAAAATGAACGTGGTGTTTTTGTTGTCGCAAAAGGTGGGAGTAGTACATATTTTTGCAAGACGCATTACGATGACCTGTTTGGTCGTCGATGRTGATAGGGTCGGAGCATTGCCGATGCACAGGACTTTCTTTCGGATAGGAAGGAGGACAACAGGTATAATAGTGCAACCCAAAACGATTGATGCTGCTGCTTTGAAATGTGCCCCAAACAGGATACTCCGAATCTATTATCCGTCCTTCCCATCCGTCACTGCAGGATAATGGCCAATATGTATTCGGGCCGATCCCTAGGCATGCTGGTTTGCCTGTAACAACGAAAGTTGAGCGACACTTGTTCTCGTCACAAGTACGATCAGCAATAGTACTCGTCGTTGCAATACCGTTATCATACATAAAAATCTCTTCGCCATCGATTTCTATCAAGTTGGCTTCCACGGAGTCGTTGCTTGCATCAGYGTCATCAATGCTCAATATGTCGAAATCGCAGCAAATATAGGTCTTAGAATAGAACGGAGAATTTGTCATCAGCCTTGGATACCTCTTGCTATYGTCCCGACAAGGCATAGAAAGGTATAGATAATTATTGTTGGTGGTTTCATTTCCCAATTTCGTACTGCTGACGCGTTCCTCTTCGTTCACAACAATCGCTTGCGCTGGATCGCTGCAATGTCGCGCAATAGCTATGTCGCTTTTGAAGCCCTTTGGACAGCAAGTATAATATGAAAGCAACGTTGTGACGGGATATGACGTGTACGGGTATTCAGTCGTCACAGCTTTCTTGTCTTCGGAATCGATGATTCTACCTTCGTACCCATCTGCACACAGGAGAGGCTCTTCTGGCGACTTCGCATAGCACTGGAACCGATTTGTTACGTTCAAAAMCCCTCCCGCCGATCGGCATTTGCTCTCGTCGCAGACTTCATTCATGACCACGAACGCAGTGACAGGATGGAAGTGAGAGGCTTCGAGGCGATAGATCCTCGACCAAACTGAAGACTCCACCGATACAGTACCTTACGTTCTATTTCCGTCGTTCGGCAGCGTTAGAGGAAGTTAGTTCCTGAATATTCGTAGTTACGTTGAAGGCTTATTTGATGAAATTAAAATGCCTGCAGATAAAAGTACTTGAGGCTATTACTCTGAATACGTACTCTTGTTAGTAAAAATTTTGCGTTTTAAGTACCGGCCGGTACAGTAATTGTCCGTTCTGCTGCTCGTGTCCTACTACGAATTAGACACACAGTACGTACTCACACGTACAACATAGTGATGTACGTASACGGCAACTACGGTACGTACCCTCCGTACGAACGAATACGAAGTACTTGGTACTGTACTTCTACTACGGTAGAACCATGATGTCATTCAAAATACTTTTTTYTGCAATCGAAACCTGCTTTGAAGCGCGACCAGATTTTTCCTGGTCCATTCTCGATTTTCGTACCGGTACGTACCGGTAGGGGTTTGCATTTAGCATACCGCGTTGAAGCCATAGTACAGTACATACAGTACCGTAAGTATGTACAGCGTACAGTCCTTGAATACAGTATCAAAATCGTATTTCAATCGTACGAAACTTTCAGTCGTACACGTGTACATATTTTATTCCGCATAACTTTGGCTCTGACCACGGCCTGACCACGAAGAACATCTATCTTCAATCTTAGTCTTTACTCATAAAATCAAAATCGAAAGAACAKAAACTACTACATTTATCAATAAAACAAAACGAACGAACAAAAATAATGAAATCTATTATTACTCTCATAGTTTTTGCAATCAGCGCATCTGAGAACTTTGTGGTAAAGGCATCAACGCCATTGAGAACCAATATGTGTCCAACGATCCACAAGCCTGTGTTGTGTGGACCAAGAAAACAAGAATTTTCCAACATGTGCAATGCCAGACAACGTGGAGGATTTCAGCAAAGCGAGTGCACATTGAAGAACCATGTCT